TACACAAAGACGAATGTTTTTCCAGTCACCGAAACCAAGGTAAATTTACTAATAAGGTTTTAATGCATTTTTGTCTGACTGTTTCATTAACTGTACTTTGTAGTTTTGGAGTAGTATTTTGTATATATATTCATTATGTTCAGCACCGTTTTGTGGAGAACTTTTACCCCACTATGAAAAATTTTATACACAAAAAAAAATACAACATTCAAAGGAGTCAGTTTTACTCTTCAAGTTGTTTATACCAAAAATATCAATGATAAAGTATTTTCAAGCAGCAAAATACTGCAAATACTGATGGTATCTTGCATGAATTTAATCTCATCATGAAAATCACTTGAAAGCATTGAAACAGTTATAAGTTTTTAATCAAAAGGAAGAAAAATGTGCCAATACTATTTGTAGATAAACATTACGATATTTCCATTGACTTGACCGAGGATGGATGAATTTCTAAGTTTGCAGCATTTCAATATGCTCAGTATATAAAATTCCTGTGAAGAATGTGCAAGGTGTTGGATGATGTATTTTCTACTCTCATTATCAACATTGTAACACAGAAAATGGAATACCATACTTATCTTGAAATAAATTTTTGCCCACTGATAAACCCCCTTCATTTTTGCAGAATCATCAAATTTAAAACAGCAAGCTAAAAGCAAATAAGTTCTCTCTTCAGCTTGCATGACAATGGATATGGCATGTAACAAATTCTGCAAAATGTTGCTGTCCATTACTCAGAAGTTCTTTTTAAGTCATCTGAACCGAAGGGATAACCTATAGCCATTGTGTTTCGTCAGTCATCATCCACTGTATGTCATGCGTAAACTTTCCAATTAAATAACTTCTCTATAACCAAAAGGCCCAGGGCTCTGATAATGGGCCCATAGCAGAATGGGATAAAGAGCTACCAAGTTTATCAATATGAATCACCTTGATTCATTTTCAAGGTCACAGGTATAAATGTTTAAAAATCTTTAGATGATTTCTTCTCATTATCCAAAAAAGCTCAAAGTTCTGATAGCTGGCCAGTAGTATGCTGGAATGAAGAGGTACCAATTATGTTCACGTTATTTTCACATTTTAAAGGTCATAGGGGTCAAATTTAAAATATTTGAATGACTTCTTGTCAATAACAAAAAGGTCCAGGCTATTGATATTGGTTTTTCAATGTAAGTGGATGAAGGACCATTATTTTGTTCAAATAATTGACCTTGACTTATATTCAGGATCTCTTGGGTTAAGTGAGTAGAGAACTTGAAATTTTGTTTCCAATAAGCAATAGGTTCGGTATAATGGCATGTATAAAGACTATGATTATAAGTTTGCAGAAAATGTTTTTATGACCAAACAATACCTTCTTTGCATGCTGTAGAGTAGTAGAGCGGTTTATTTCAGGCTTATTTGTCCTCTTTTATATATAGGTTTATATATTCAGATGACTGTTAAGGCCTCCTGTTTATAAAACATTGGCAGGGTAGTTATTACTTTACTTAAACAGCATTCCATACTAGGTAGTAAAACGTTGTGAAGAATTTCTTGCATTTTGCCCATCTATTGCAAAACAATTTACATTTCTTACATCATTTTGAAAATCCCTGAGCCAATTTTGATGAAATTTGGTAGATATTTTCATGGCCAATGATTAACCAAATGAATGAATTACAAATGTCTTCAACCTAGGGGACTGAATCGGTGTCGAATTAAATAAAATTTTTGAAAGTCTCCTCAACACTCAGATATAGAAGAATCAAACACTGTTCATAGATTTAAGGGTTTTTGAGATGCTGTAACCCAAATTATGAATTTCATGATCCTTGCATTATCCCTTGGTATTGAGTATTAAGTTAGAAGCTTATATAGAATTTTTTTTTCTCTAATTAAAACTCTATTAGAATCCATAATATAGGACGACAGTTAACTATGTGATATATGTAACACAACACAAACAATATTTATGGAATTCAGGTGACTGTTAAGACCATTGGGCCTTTTCTTTTGTCAAGACACTATCATGCAATGTTGAAATTTTTATTGAAGAATTGAAAGATTTGATATATGTGTTAGGTTGCTACCAAGTAGCTCTACCTTTTTTGAAATTCTTTTATGGTGTTCAAATCTGGAAAAGTAAGTTTTCAATTTTTGTCATTTTTAGATCATCTGAGTGTGGGTAAGGTCTTGTAGTCAGATCCTCTGGTTTGTTTATGTTGAAAATTTGAATTTACAATTATGTAAGAATACTGTTGTTTGTGTGTGTTCATGAGTGTAATTTGATCTTTATATTCACACTCTGAACCCGTTTTGTATTATTGAAACTTCTACCTAAGTGTTATTTTCCTTGTATCATGATTGAAAAATGGATCATTTACAAAAATGAGTTTTCTTCATTTATATGTTTGATGACCCAGATATTTTATGATCATGATAGCAGTGATATCCGAGGTGTTTTTGTCCATTCGGCAATACTTGAGATAAATACATAAACTTGTCTATAATTATGGGCTTCACCTACTTTTGTATTCAGGAAATTGATGGTTAGGAATGTTTGAGGAGATTCGTCCGGTTATCAATATCTGAGGTGATTCATCCATGACGTCTAGGATGACTTGTCAATAATTCTGGCTTAAACTACTATTGTATTAAGGAAGTTGGCAACAGTTATATCTGAGGTGAATCTTCCAGTTGGCAATATCTGAAGCGATTCATCCTTGACGTTTGGGATGACTTGTACATAATATGTGAGCATCAGCTATTGCAAACTGTCCATGAAGTCTAAAATGACCTGTCCATAAGCCAACATATTTATAAAAAAGACGCAATTTCTGATTTATTCTCTCGTGAAAACTTTGACAATTATATTGTGTTGGAAAAATGTCAATTATCATTTATCAAAAGCATTATTTGTGTATGTGATATATTTTAATATTTGTTCCACATATTGACATGGTGAATTTATTTTTTGTGTATTGACGGTTTTCAAAGTGAACCACAAAAGTGCTCTTTGTACTTTTTGCAGCTCACATGTCGAAATATGCACAACTACCTCTCCAACCAACCGTCTATCTGTCCGTCCGTCCGAAACTTAGGTTTGCTTACCGATAGCTTTAAAAGATTGATCATTATCACCAAGTATGGTAGATTATGAGGTTGGAGGTTATCACTATTTATGGTTGATGCAGTTGCAGGTTATCACTTTGTATGGTCGGTAAGGTCGGAAGATATCTGTGTAAATTGTTGATGAAATTTGAGGCTATCTCTGTGTTTGTTTGTTAAGTTTGGATGTCATCACTGTGTATTGCTGTTGAGGTTGAATTTTATCACTGTAGGATGGAATGTTTAATCATGTTTACATCTTTTTGTTGCCGGATAAAGTTGGATGAAATCACAGTGGAAGTTCAAAGTAAAAGGCTTCCTGTGTTTTCATGTGATAACTGCAGAACAGGCCAACAAGTTCTGACCTGTTGATTGCTTGTAAATTGATCTTCTCTTACAAAATTTACTCTCAAACATTCACATGGAAATTGAAAAGTAAAAAAGAAGTTCATTGTCCAAACAACTGGCCATTGCAAATAACTGTCCGTTTAATAACGTGACCTTGCTGACTTTGCGCGTACAGACCCCTGAATGATTGATGAGAACACTTAGCAATATGAGACAATATCTTTTCTCCAAAGCTATGGAAAAATAACATTTGGAAGAAGATTTCATGTCCAGGTAATATCAGCTCACACAAAAGCTTCAAAATGTCTTACAGTTTTCTGGTGGATCCTGGTGCAAGAATGCATTGCGGGAATTTTTACGGTAAAAATCTTAATTAATAATTTAAACCAAATTTCTATTCAAATGAGTCAGCTATATTCCAACCAACATATCAAGTCTAAGGGAGATAATTGATCTAACGCTCATCAATGTAAATGAAGTGTATTAAAATAAAGGAAATTAATTATAAATTGATAACATTTATATATATTAATAAGTCAAAAGTCATATTCATTTCCAAATTTTTTTTATTTTAAAACAAATAATTGAAATAGATCCTCTGTTCTAAATTGCACAACCGCACCGGCCATGTTATTGGCCATGGATGTTATACCTAAACACTCGCATCTGAAAAAAAACTATATAACCTTAAAGGAAATATATATATATCATTAAGTTATCAAACCAGCAATCTAGATATAATACATTCACATTGAACCATAAAAATTTGTATAAAAAATTGGAACCAGCAAATGAAAATATATATTGCTCAACCTAATTTGAATGGCTGTCTAAAAAAAAAAAAAAAGCAGAAAAAAATGAAAAAATGCGAAGACTGAAAAAACTTAAATACACCAAAAAACTACGATGTACTTTCCATTTTAAACTTGGACCAAGAGGGATCACAAAATTAAGCAAAATATATTGCAAATAAGTGCTAAGTTCTAGTCACGTGATATGCGGTAGGCCTACTCTGTGTCTGGGTGTGTGTTATAGCGACCTTAAAAGTATTATGAAAAACCTGAAATTTTTTTTTTTTTCAATTGCATTTTGTAAATAATACAAGTTTTCTTGTGACTGAAATGAAAAGTTTTCTATAATATTACGTGCTTAAACCATACCTCTCTGTTTGAACTGAATTGCTCATATCTGACAAATCGATTTAAATTAAAAAAAAACATAAGGATACAAACAAAGTAATACCTGTAATTAAGGAAGATTGAGTTGGCCTACTTTCATTTTCAGGTGATGATAAATTCTATAAATAGATAAACAATTGGATTTTTTCCATCGCGGACGTTATCATCCTTAGGTAATGAAAGATTTCGAGAACTCCCGGAAAGAAAAGAAAACCCAGGGAAAGCGCCACCTATTGCCACCGTGCAAGCTTCTTCACTCGCTTTGGGTGTGGATCGAGAGAACCTGTTTTCATAAGCACTTATTATATTTGATATGTCGAAATGGCTGTGTATATTATCAGCACCACAGCGACTGCTACAGTGATGTGATGTGTGTAGTTAGCGCGACAGTTTTCATACAAACGTGATCACAAACGAGAAAAAGACACGAGCGTCAAGCAGCGGCTGTTGCTGAGTCTGAAATCTGTGACCTCTCAAAAGCGAACGCGTTGTGTCAGTGTGTTTTGGGTGTGACTAAGGGACATTCACCCTAACCAGGCGCCATGGAACCCATAGGGTTTGAAATGCATACTGGTGAGCAAGGTAAGTCAAAGTACTGGCTGAGTCCATGAAATAGCATTCTTCCGTGAAAGAAAAATATTGTTGTCGGTGTGTATTCGGCCGTATCGAAACGTTGTCGTAGCGGTACATGCTATGTACATGAAATGAGATATTGGTCTGTTTCTACGCCTTACATAAACTTGAGTGCTTTACTATTTCTCTAGAGTTCTTCAGTCCCCTTTTGTTTGGAAACGTTGTTGGACTTTAAAAACTATTATTTTGACAGTCGTGTCAAAACAGTGAACACACGAAGACTTGTTGCAAGAGCTATGTGATTTGTGTTTCGTTTTCAACATATACATGTTTATGAAAAAAAAGTATCTTCCACGATTTTGTTTTTTAATGCCAATAAGAAAAACAAATACTTATAATATTGGAACTAATGTTCAAGTTGTTTATACATAGGCTAGGTCTATTTGTTTTTTACAGTGGCCTAAAAAACAAGTTCATGATAAATTGACATTTGAAATATGATCCAACTTTTTACAGACCTGTTCTTTGTTGATTCTGGATATACATTATGATAACACATAGATTGTTTATTACAAAATACAGTTTCTGTTTGATTATAGTCAAGGCCTATACATGTCATTGCATCAGATGTGTAATAATTCATATATTTACTAAATGATAGAATATTTAATTGTTCTGGTGCCAAATTAAAGCTGTTGACATGCTGATTATTATTCTAGATTTACACTAGACAAACTACAAATGTATGTAAAGGGACAGCACGGTTGTGTGATTGCTGTACACTTAAACCTTAAGTATAGATATATACTGCCACTTTTCTTTTATGAAGTACTTGTTGGCATCTTTCTCCAAAAAAGCGCAGACTAAGTCAACTTATATTTCCTGTTATGACACCACTTGAATTTGGTGTAAAAATAGATTTATCTAGTTATTAATTGGAATATATTTCATTGTTAATATAAAGTTGTATCTGTGATTTGTATCTGAAAATTAAATCAAATTCAATATCTGTATTCAACATATATTTGTTTGACTGGGTTTAATTTTATTTTTGGATCCTACATACATGTTGTCAATACTAATGAATCATATTATAATTCAGTTATCAAATTATGCAATATATTTCTGAAATGACAGTTAATTTCTAGAGGAAAAGTGAAGAGAAAGTAGCACCGGAAAAATATAACATTATTTAAAAGCCTTTGATCATTACAGAACTGATAATCAATATTGCACAGGTAAATTTCAGGTATTTTTAGGAATAAAGTGAAAAGAGTTTTTTTGAAGTTATCTCCCTTTACAGTGTTTGGCTTCTGTATGGATTGTAAAGAGAATAAAATCACCAAATTATTTGTATAGATTTATTGAAAAACACTTGAATTTAATATTGTGATCATTTGGTTCGGCTGATATTTATCGTCTAATCTGTTGAAGTCATGTTCGTGTGAATTTATTGGGCAAGCAGCAATCGATGAAATTGAAACATGATGTGTATTTTTTCTAATGTCATTCAGGAAGTGTGATTTCCTCACAGGATAAATTATTCATTGTTAATATAAAAACAAAAATGACTCTACATATATAGTAGTGCAGAGTACACACATGTGATGATGATGATGATGATGATGATGATGATGATCATAGTGATGATGATGATTGATGATGATCATAGTGATGATGATGATGATGATGATGATGATGATGATGATGATGATGATGATGATGATGATGATTTTTATGATGGTGGTGGTGGTGGTGGTGGTGATGATGATGATGATAATGATGATGATGATGATGATGATGATGATGATGATGATGATGATGATGGAAAAACCATGCTGTTTTGCTTACAAGAAAATTTTAGAAAACCACCATATTACTTTCATTTTTTACTTTGTATTTTTACTTTGTAATATTTCATGAACTCAAAAAAGAGGGAAACAAAGAGACAGTTTTTAATGAATTACTCCAAAAATGTTCAGGAAACATGTGTTTGCCACTGTAGTTCTGTTACCTAAAAACTTATTTTGCAGCCATGACTCAAAATATGCAATATACTGAGAATGTTTTACGATATGATACCTTCATTAAAAAATCATTAACGATGAAAGATGATCTACATAAAAATATCAATACAAGGGTTGGACAAATATAATAGTTGACACAATATTTCTGGTAACGTTTGTAGTCAGGACACTTCATTGACAGAAACGGATGGGAGAATGTGATGCCAGTCCTGGTGTCAAAATTTTGATATGTAATATTTCGCAAAAAGAAAAATAACAATTTATTTATTATTGTACGGTATTATTACATTGGGTTTGGTTTATGATGTTTTACAAGCATCCTATCAAGAGCTATGGACATCATAAGGATGGCCTCCCATGTGTGTGAGCTGTATGTGTGTTTTGGAAGGCAGGGCATGCTTGTGTTTAACTCTTTGTGATCGTACAGACCTGATGCCAAGTTCAATTGTAGGGTTATCTCACTGAAGTTTACTGCCGAAAAACAGCCATTAGGATAAAACACCCAGTCTTATTACATTGACAATGGTCAAATCAATTTCCAAACGGCTGAATATTAAACAAGAGTTAAAACTGACTTTCAGACTTTCATGGGTCAAATCCCAAAGCTTCCTCGCAGGGATAGATATAGGGAGACATAAAGAAAAATGTTGCTGAGGTTAAAATTTAAAAAAAAAGATCCCAAAGGTGGTTGCCATTTACTAATCATCCTATCTAGTTAGGCTGCAATGAGTATTCTGTAATATCTGTGACAGTGTACCAGAAATATCCAAAAATGTGTTTTCATACAAAAATGAATTTGGAAATTTTTATTAGATGAAATGAGATTTTGTCAAAGTGTGTGTAACTTGTCTATCAAATATTGCAGGCTGTAAGATGCAGCTAAAAACTGATATCAGAGTGTTCAAGGACATCTGTTGTATTAAATACATGAAGCACTTGTCAGTTGGTTAAATTTGAATGAAACAGGCTTATGCTTTTCGCATGAATGAGCTTCAGTACTATCTGAGATCATCAATTACACAGAAAGTGTATATTACTTTTAACATAAAACATTTACATCTAGTCCCAGTCATAAACACATTGATTCAAAATACCATTTCAAATATGTCGTAAATTTCTAAGATATGGAAATTTAGAGCGTAATCTGGAAAAGGCATTAAATTTGGATAGCGGAAAAAGACAAAATGAACAATATAACAATTTCAAATTTCAAATCATTTTGTAACAATATATAAATGTTATATAAGATAACGACAGTTTGACGTTTTCAGTTAAGATCAATTTTTTGTTATAACTGTTATACATATTTCAAAGTCTTTTACGTAGATATTTCTCTTGCTAGAAAAACATACTTAATGGTATTTATTACAGCAAGAATCTTTGAAAGATAATGTGATTTTACCAAATAACAAAACACAAAAACAGGAAATATTGGAAAAAAAATACATTCCATATTTTCCATGTGTACAGTCATGAAACATCAACAAGCCAGTAGTAGTTTAGGAAATAAGATGAAAAGAGCACTGCCAACTGCTCCACTGACAGACAGCATTATGGTTTATATGAGAGAATGCTGACAGGGATCACATATTTATGACATAACTGAGCTAATTGCAGATCTCCATTTATATATATTCAGCACTCTACATGTGCAGTGCTGAACAGAATACATAAATCATGCATTGTTAATCACTGAATAAATGATTAACCTGTCTGACATTTTCACTCTACCGTCAAAGTATATAGGGAATATTGTTTGTGTATATGAAATAGGCACGGAAATGTGTAGACAATAAGCTTGTGTATTGATAATTTCTCTTGGAAATAAATGGATTACTTCACAGTTGCAAGAATGATAACAATACTCCACAGTTTTAATTTGAAATTAAAAGAAAAAAAAACATTGCTCAATTGCTTCAAAACATTTTGTGGTAGTTTAGTGTTAAAAATGTATGTGTTGACATGCAACCAAAATACAGAATATGAAACTCAATGCATGTGACACTTGTCAAAAGGAATTTCTCATTGGATTTACTGACCTCATTGTTGTTTGTCTGTTCCCGTTTTCTTTTTTGCACAATTACACACTTCTTTGGTTTTACTGCATAGCAAAATGACAACCAGATATTTGCATAGGCATATCAAAATTTTGCAAACAAAATTTGATGAATCTTAATCTTCATACTATAGTAATTTTTATTAGGAATTTTTAGGTGACTTGAGAGGGGTGGGGGTGGGGGTATAAAGTAGCAGGTTAATGCAGGAGGTGGTATAAAGTAGCAGGTAAAGGTAGGGTGGGGGAGGTGGTGGTATAAAGTAGCAGATAAAGGTAGGGGGTGGTATAAAGTAGCAGGTAAAGGTAGGGGGTGGTATAAAGTAGCAGGTAAAGGTAGGGGGTGATATAAAGTAGCAGGTAAAGGTAGGGGGTGATATAAAGTAGCAGGTAAAGGTAGGGGGTGATATAAAGTAGCAGGTAAAGGTAGGGGGTGATATAAAGTAGCAGGTAAAGGTAGGGGGTGATATAAAGTAGCAGGTAAAGGTAGGGGGTGATATAAAGTAGCAGGTAAAGGTAGGGGGTGGTATAAAGTAGCAGATAAAGGTAGGGGGTGATATAAAGTAGCAGGTAAAGGTAGGGGGTGGTATAAAGTAGCAGATAAAGGTAGGGGGTGGTATAAAGTAGCAGATAAAGGATAGAAATCATACTGGAATTCATCTTTGATTGGTAATGTTAACACTTATTAGATGCTGAAATATGGCAATAAGTTTAGGAAAAGAGGAGATTACTCTTACTAATTAATAGAATTCAAATGTGCATTGTAGCATACACCCTAAGTGTATGAATACTGTTGTATACATCAGTATACTATGATTTGTAGTAATCATGTAAAAGCTTGCACCTAATTGTGAATGGTCAATTGACCACAAGTAATTGGTAGTAATTGGAGATCATTTGGAGTTATCACTGACCAGGACAGTGGTCAG